AATATAGTTGTAATGGCAACTATTCGTGATCGGAAAGCACAATTCAGCAATGTTCGTAAAGAAGCACAATATCGACACATTGAGATTTTTGATTCAACTGGACAAGTGCTACAACAAGCCTTACCAATCACTCAAAAAATAAGACCGAAGGCCGACCATTTCAACCCTTTTGTGATAGATGGTGGTAGGCGCATTGGTTACCATCGTTGCAAGAGTGAAATTCTTAGGGTACCACCATTAACGACTTAATTTTTTAGCTAACCATGTGCATGGGCATACATACGTATACGTACGTACGTACGTACAATTGAGTTGGAGCAGTACTTGCCCGCACTCAATGTTTGAAATTTGACTTTTTACCCATAAAATGCTTAAAAAGTTTTAGATATAGCAATATTTTGCAAGGAATTATATAATTGTGCTCCGACTAGTTGAAGTATGTTGTTGCGCTCTCACTTTATAAGAAAAATTATAAATGTGCTCTTACTCAATTATTAAACATATAAGTATATTTATCACTTCAATGAGTTACTATGTTTTCATAGTTAGCAGAACTAGCTAAAAAAAAAAAAAGGCTTTGCCACTGATGACAGGGTGGAAAGAGTATTCCAAGACAATTCGACAAGCTCCATTCACCGCATCAGGATCTAGGACTATTTCAGGTGTCGGGAGTGTTTCTGACGTTTTCCCAAGATGGCTCCTATGACGACCCTCCCATGAGGCCGCCACCGTAGCTTACTTTTTAACTTGTACTTATTGGGATTTCTTAAAATTTACGGAACATTTTTTTTTTAAAATATAAGAAGGAATAATTTCATAATTCGTAACGATAATTTCAAAAGAATTAATCACTAAATTTCTTAAAGTTTTTTCTTAATTTCAACTAAGATAAAACCTTCTAAAAATATCTTTCGAACTGAGTGACATTTGAACTCTTGTTTCACATACTCTTTAAAAGCTTTCTAAAACTGGGCAATACATTCGGGCCATCTAATTTGACCTTAAAATGAATTTCGTGAGAAATCTTAAATTCAAGTACTTCTTAAAGTCCTTTCAAAATCAATCATTTAAACCGTCGTATTTAAAGTTTGTTTATTCATTGCATGCACTGTTGCAACGTTTTAAAACTTCAAAACTCAAGACTAGGGTTGTTAGCTACAACCTCGGTTCTCTTAACATACATATGTACATATACTTTTTAAACATACATGCTTGAAACCTTTGAATCATTTATACATATACATGATTTTACTTTAACTTACTGCGGAAGATTTAACTATGAGCGGTATCCATTCCCATCTCCACCACTTGCCCGCCGCTCGCCACTGCCCTTCAAGAATTGCTGATAGGTTTCTACCTATAGCATGAACATATCTAATTGAGCTTTCGCTCAGCAAGTAGGAACTATCTATCGCAAAATAACTGTAAGTTCACATGTATAAATATGCATGAGCTGATTATGCTTAATTATGATGTCTTATCATAGTCTTATTATCTTATCTTATCTTTCTTACTGATGGGCCCGAGTGCTCACGTACCACTTGCGCGCAATCATCGGGACGTGAGGGTTTGCAAGGTCCCCCACGACACTGATTATAACTTGAATGCCTCCCTTGAGTCGGATGACATTATTGTTATTTTCTTTTTCTCCCTTGTGGAGCTTGAGTTACCTCCCTTGTGGAGG